CTAAAGTCCAGGTAGACATGACCCACAGCCTTCCCCTCACCCAGCAGGTGGGTCATCTGGTCATAAAGAGATCAGGTTGGTCAAGCAGGACCTGCCCTTCCTGAACCCATGCTGGCTGGGCCCGATGGCCTGCTGGTCTTGCACCCGCCCCATGGATCTTCCCTGACACCAAGGTCAGGCTGACAGGCCTGTAGTTCCCCAGATCCTCCTTCCAGCCCTTCTTGTAGACGGGTGTCACCTTGGCAAGTCTTCAGTCTTCTGATATCTTCCATGTTAACCAGGACTCTTGGTAAATGATGGAGAGCAGCTTGGCAAGCTTATTCACCAACTCCCTCAGTACCCTCGTTATGAATCGCCAGAGACGACCCTCTGTGTGAGCCCAGCCTACAGGAGGAGGCATCTCTCAGTATCCCGCGGGGAGTCCGGGGGCATGGGCTGACAGCCAAGGTCTCCTTTCCTCTGCAGCCCACCTTTTTGGCCAGCTGGACATAAGGTAACTCAAGAAAGTGGGACCAAGAGCCTAAGGGAGGATTCACCAGGCACAGTCCTGCCCTCCTGTCACTTTAAACATCGCTTGTGCCTCTGGTAGGCTCCACCTCTGAGGTGATGTTTTTGTTCTGTAAGCATCCAATGGTTCCTTCAAAAGGAAAACCATTCCCAGTACAATTAATCCAGAGCAGAATGCCATTATTGCAGCACGTGACACTAACTAGGCAGCCTGGGTCTTACACGTACCTGACACAGGGTGTGCGAGCAAACAGTGCGCAGGCAGAGAGCACAAGTGCAACAGTGGGGTGTAACCACTTCGTACACATTGCCACATAAAAGCAAAAATGTCGGCATAAGGTTTGGCCTCATGTTCATACAGTGTTTGATCGGACCGCCATGGCAGTAGAAATGTGCATGGTCAAAAGAGGTCAAAAGAGGCTGTAAGAGATAGGACTTTATGCACATAAAGGGAATTTTAAAACAATCCTCATGCAAAAGACACGTATTGCCCCATCTATCTATGTATAAACACATCTACTCAAACATTTCAAATAATTTGTGTTTCAAATACAACAATGGAAGAAAGATACAGCACTATGAGCTAAAAACATTTCTCAGGCAGGAGAATCACTGTGGCAAACATGATCTTCTAGAACATTTCACTTAAACTACTGCAAGTCAGGTTCATTGAAAAGCAAAATTAATGACTGTCTGTGAAACTCAAAATATGATTTGCTTCATCAAGCATGTTCTAACCATAAGAAAAGTGCAGAGGAAGATAATCCCTTCTTTCATGTATTAAGCAGTTTAATGGAACAGAATTAGTTGCCACTGAAGGCAGATTTAGTTAATCTAAGTGTAAATTAAATTTCTCTTAATTTCCTTTACTGCCGAAAAGACCCTTCCTTCAGTAATAATGTTCTCTATTGTACAGCCATCAAGAAGGAATGATTTCAAGGACTGAGCCTTAGCAGGATGCCCAACAACTCCCAGAAGGCTGGAGCGTGATTGCTACATTTGGGTTGTAACAGCATGTTGTATTACTGTCATTACATCAGCTTTGTGGGTAGAATTTAACTGTGTTCTATGAACACATCTGAAGAGAGATCTGGATTGAACTGGATTCAATGCTAGTTGAGACATCCTTACAGGGTGATCATGTTCGATTTAACCTGCCAGAATTTCCTTTGCTTGCAGAATGAGGTCCATCAAAATACCTGGCAACATAAAACCTTCTGAAGTTTTATTTACGATTTTTTTTTGCACATACTTGCAGTATTTTAAAGGTGTATTTCAACGAAGTTTAAGTCTTTGGGACCTAGCCACCTGTGCAAACCAACACATGGAAAGTACCATATCATATTTAGCCCTTCCCATAAAGTATTTTAAATTGGTTTATTTGAATATTTTTTTTTTCAAATATTTTCAAATATTACTTGGTTTCTTGATTCTTCCTCAACAATATTTGCATAAAACCAGACAACTTTAATGATGAAGATGTTAGGTCTGGATTTGCAGAAGTACTTTGGTCCCTAAAGATGCCTTCTCTGCAATTTTCCAGAAGTCTTTGATGTAAATGAAGCTGCTACTTGGTCTAGTAAATTCTGGTAGATGTCCACCTGCTATAATGAGGTGCCTAAGCCCTTTCGTAAATCTTGCTTTTGGAGAGTAACAAATATATGGAAATTTTGTCAGTTAAATTAAATGTCCTTGATCTATATTGTTCTCTCATATAAGGATTTCCCTAATTTCTGTCAACTTATTTTTCTTAAGGCTTTGTGCACCTTTTTTGCAACCCAGCAGATAATCGCCTGCACCCCTGCCCAGGCTCAGGCAGTTCGTTTCCTTCACCTGTCTTTTTACTTACTTGTTTGCTTAACTATTCACAACACAATAGAATTACTGACCTATTCTTATAAAATTTTGCAACAGAAATCTGCCAGGACATCCAGTGAAGTGCCTCATTCAGGAAAGTTTTGTGATGAAGATTAGTCACATTTGTGTTTAACTGCAGGTAGTAAAAGTACTGGAACACAATTCCAGAAAGCAGATACCCCATCATTTTACAACCAAGCGTAGGTTACTTGTGTTTGCTTTTCGCAATCTTTTCAGTAGGCCTGGTGTTTAAATACGTGGTGGCACACAGCTGGAGGCCCAGTTCAGCATGCAGTCTAATTTACTATACAGTTTATTTTCCATCTGTCTGACGCATTTCCTTGTATAACATCCTAAACAACTCAGAAAAACTCATTATGTACATTTCATAAATTGACTGCATACATTTACAAATTAAAGGAGCCCAAGCACAGCTTTTGCTCTACTTTTTGTCAGGTTCACAGCTGTTAGAGGTGTATATATTACTCCAAAACGTTAGCCTGTTCATGAGATGCCCAGCATTTTACAGCAGCGGGTACGGTTACCTGCCCTGGGACAGGAAGGACAGGGGAAGTGACGTTCTTTTCAGCAATGCTTTCTATGTAAGAACACACTCACTTTCAACTACACAACTGCAACAAATCTTCAGTTCTAGACACACATGCATGACTGCAGTTCTGGAGTGCCTTTTTCAGGCAGTGTACTCCTTTCTCATTGCAAAATTATTTCAGACCCTCAGAAGTTCCCAGACTTCAGATGCAGAGCGCTAAGGGTAGCAGACAAATTTATTGTTTGGGGTGAGGTGGGGGTTGAACAGTTTACAAAACCCAATCCACTCTAGCACAAAAAGCAGCTTTTATCAGCTGAAGTTTTGATGGGTAGGGTACAGTTTGTCACAATACTGGAAAAATAGCCAGAGATACGGAGGACAAAACCAATCCTAAACTAGCATGGCTTCCTTCCCTTCTTTCTGTTACCCAGTCCTTGTCTTTTCTACTACACGATCCACACAACAACATGTGTGAGATGTTACAGCAGCACACGGTTAGTATGTTTGTCCTTTACTGTATGAATTATACCATGCATGCATGCTCAGCATAATAAAACCAGGTTTTAATGCCACAAAGGTACTTCACCTGTCTAGGAGAAATGTACATCTGTGACACACTGATCACACAAAAGATTATGTTCCAAGGATGATGCAAAAGCTGAATCAAACAGCAAAACCAAATTCACTTTCTAATAGACCAGCTGATTAAGGGAAAGCAAAGAGTATTAGGCCACGTCTTACAAGGACCTTTCTGAGATTTAGCTCATTACAGAAGTAATGGTTGCAGCAGCGTGTGCCCAATATCCAGCTGTGAACACTGCAGATGGATTGACGCAAGACCTGACAAAACCGGGTACTGGTAGGAAACAACAGGCCTCACCATAGGCATTTGGCAAGCCTTTGGAATAATTAATTACCTGGTAAGAGAAAACACAAGAACAAGACTGGAGCTCAGTGACAGTTCCAGGACTGAGCATATAAAAAGGCATACCTTAGGATTTTGCGGAAAATGGTAAATCCTAAACAACCATCCAAAATTGCTAGAATGTTTTTGGTTGGAATGTTCTAAAGAGTATCTGGTTTGGCAGAGATGAGAGAGTAGGAATTATCACTTCCCTTCCCCACCAAGCACAGGGACATCTAAAGCACTTCACAACCGCACTGCCATGCTGGGACACAGGTCAGCGCAGCACGCATCTTTCCAGGAAGAGGCAAAGCTGGACTTGCTGAGCTCACGGTCTTACCGTGAAGTCAGTTTTATGACTTCTGCCTGGGGTCTGTTACTGGTTTTCAAAGGTTTTGTGACCATATTAGATATTTATATCTCAGAAGCCTAAGATCAATTGTGTGAAGCAACTTATTTTTAAATAAATCCTGGTTTATTATAATTCAAATTATACAAGCATGTTAAAGAGATTTTAGTTGAATTTTTATTTTAAGCAACAGAACTGCACCATTTTAAACCACAACAGAATACACAGCAACAATTCTCTTGCATCATGCCCCTGTTGCTCCTCTTCAGGAAAGAAAGGCACAACATTTCAAGGAAAAAATTAACTGAAGTATGCAATCAAGACTTTGCTATTAGTAAGCTAAGTAATTTTTGCATATAGCATTCCTGTAGCTCATCCACAGACTTGACATGAAAATCTGAATTCTTCATAATTTAACCACGACACTGATGTTGCCACAATGCAATTCATGGTTCTTTAGCAAGGTCAAGAACAGCTACAGTTTTTAAGATGCAAGTCTGAAGTACTGTACTAGCCATTAGTGAAACTAAGATGCTAAAAGACATTTACCTTCCAGAGCTAGATTTATTCATAAGTTATTTAGCCTAAACTCTAATCACACCAAATAGTTTATAGATGAAAAGTAGTTCCACTGAGGAAAAAAGAACTTCAGTTCTCAAATATTTTAAATTAAGAAATACGCTAGCTGCCATTTTAGCAGCAAAAGAGACTCTCCTGTAAGTGATAAGGGGTTTTATTCATCTAAAACGTGCAAAGAAAAAGTCTCAAAGTGAGAGAAATATCACCAGTTCATATTGGACACAAGGGAATGAAATCCTTTTGAGTGAACCCTATTAATACGTTTTCTTGTCAGAAATGTCTGTGGATCTCTTCACAGCAATTCCATTCGCCACGCCATTGTTTTCAGACTGCAAATAAAACACAACATCGTTAACGGGATATCAAAAAAGGAGCCCACACCCAGAACAGCAACAGCTGGTGGTGAAAATGGCTTTTAGAAGCAGGGCCAGTAACAATCTATGAAGAAGTCTTCAGCAAGAACACCAAAGGAAAGGTGTCTCTAGATTATTGCTTAATTATTGGTTCAGGAGGGGAGGAGGGCAGAAAACACACATGAATCTTTGCATTTTGTTACAAGAGGTGAATAATAAATACACAACTGACACTAAACATTTCCCCCCATTATGAGTGGCACAGCTGGCTGAAGAGTGTTTTCTAAATTCTGCTTCACCTGTCTGGTGTGAAGTACAAATTACTTTACTCCTTCCTTCCCAGTAAGAACAGCCAGTCATTAAAACAAAACATAAAATTAACTAAGCTGTTTCAGAAAACAGGGGCAATCCCTGCTCTTCTAAGACCTAACAGAACCTGTCTTGAAGCAACTATTTCTAGCTGGCTCAGTACTGGCAATTCCCTTTCATAATAAAATAACCACAAAAACATCTGCAAAACCACCCAGCTATTTACTCTTTTTTGTGCCCACACTGAACTGTCGCTGGGTGCTTTATCTGGAGTTTCCCCGGTTAGCCAAATGCATTAATCTTACTTCATGAATGCCAGACTCATCCTCCTGATCTCTTTTCGTGGCTGAAGGTGCCCGTGGATTTCCAGCACTGCCTCCTTGACCTTGTTTTGTGCCTGTTGTTGCTTGCACAGCTTTCTTGGGCCACACGCGCTTAATGAAAGGTGCAATAACGGGATAGATATACGGTTCAAGGAATTTCTTGTAGACCCAGAGAAGAACCGGAATGACAATACAAGGAATGCACACCATGGCTTCCTCTTGTTCTGTGACAGAGCTGGTGAGTGGAAAAAAAACAAACAGCTTAGGATACAGCGTTTGTATGCCATGAGCTGAGAAAAGAGTCTTAAATAAGGAATAAAGATTGTAGTTGATATTCAAACATAAAAGATTCTTCAATAATAGATTAACTGTTAAAGTTTAAAAAACGCTGCATGTTTCGATGTTACAAAGTCCCCAGCAAGGGAAACATTCTTGGCCTTCTAACAAAAAAAGGAATAGTTTGCTATTAATCCACAATTCCTAAAGCTGGAACTTAGAAAAACACATTCAGAAAATGCTTAGACCACACAGAAAGAGTTTAAGCAGTGAGCTGCAGATGTCGTGTCCAAAACGTTTGCTTTTCTCAGCCCCTTTTTATTTAAAGTGAAATTAAATGGCAGGACTCCAATCCATCTCATGGCTTGCTACCACTGAGGGGCGAGTCAGTGGGAGAGAAGAGAATCCTAGTCAGGATTTCAGAAAAGAATAATATTGGTGTTTTCCTTCCTCCTCCATCGACTCTGGAACCACTTGATCCCACACCCATCCCATACAATTGGCCAAACTATTAGAAAATTAATCCTCTCCTCTCCCCCAAACCCAGAAAGAAGTCTTGAAAAACAGCAGGAGAATGAGGAGGCAGGGAGCTGCAACTAGATGATCTTTAACGTCCCTTCCACCCCAAACATGCACATTTTGTCCGGGATCACATTTTCATTTTTTTGTTAATCTATCCTAAAGATTTCTAGCTCCAGGCCCTGTGGAACAACAGGACACCAATCTCAATGCTTAGCTCTGGCTACTGCAGATGCAGTTTCACAGGATCTGCTCATCTCTGAGGTCAGACAGGAATCTTAATTTGAGACAACATGAATGAGGTAATCCATCACAGCCTTTCAAAAATTCATGTACTTTCTCCACCAGAGCTGCCTAGACACTATGTTTCCAGCAAGATGTTCTGGATTCACCTGTTAGATAAGAAACATGCCTGGTGGGAAGAGCCCAGACTGTCTTTGTGAGATAGCAGCATCTGTCTGTGCAGCCACCTCACATCAAGACTCCAGACCAAAAAATAAGTCATACCTCTGCCAGATGCAAACCTCAGGAAGTCTGTCACTGGTCCTAAAATACTGTTCGAGAGTTTCTTCTGTGATTCGGTTCTGTTCCTGTCACCTGGTTACCAAGTAATTACTTTTTAGGGGAGGTGAAAGAGTTAAATGGGCCAATGGTCCCGATTTTAACTGCAAGCCTGTTTCTTTGTGACACAAGCTTTTGTTTATCTCTGTAAGATACATTGGGGTCAGCAGACAGAACACGCATGACATGGCAAATTTAAGCACATGTGCTCTTTGTTTCCCATGTTTACCTCAGTCGTTTGTCAACGGTTGTTATGGAATAGAGAAAAAAAGGCTACGCAGACAAAAAGGTTGATTTTTTTTTTTCCCCTAAAGGATGACCTACTCTAGAAGGACCGATTTATGCAAACGTTCCAGTTCTGCTTCGCTGTGGGACGACGTTCAGGCTAGGACAACCCTCAGAAGCCAGGCCAGCCTTCCCGGTTTACGGCAAACGGCGAGCAACGGCCGTACGGGCACCCAGGCTGGACCGCCCAGATGGTCCGAACCGGTCCAGTTCCACTTACACACGCGTTCAAACCCAGAGCTCCGCAGCTCGGCGAGAGCTGCTTCAATTCAGGATTCACCCGTCCGCTCCCGGTTAACGGAGCCGCTCCGCCCGCAGAGAACGG